TGACTGCTGGCCAAACTGGCTGGGGCTTCTGGGAGCTGAAGTCCAAAATACCTAGAGAATCAAAGTTTGGGAGTCACTGAGTGCAACCAATGCAGTGGTCCCCCAAATTTGGTCCTTCAGGTTTTTGGACTTCCACTCCCAGAAGCCTCAGTCAGCTTGGCCAGCAGCCAGGAATCCTGGGAGCTGAAGTCCAAAATACCTTGAGCACCAAAGCTCCAGTTTTCATTTGGTGACAACCCTGCGCAAAGGTTCCGACTTGGCAAAATGGCGCTTGAGCGCATTTCCCAATTCGCATTGGAGCGGGGATCTACTTTGAAGTTGGATTCTGCTGCAAAAGCTGTGCGATGAAACACAGCTGCAGTGCGAATTAATTCGGGAGAAGTAAGGAGTATTATTCAAGAGATGCGATAATCTCCTTATTGTGGCAAAGAGCTCTCTCTGACAGAGAAGGCTAAATGTCTCACAAACCTCCAGTTCCCAGAATTCCCTAGCACTGAGCCAGAGCAGTTAAAACAGTCTTAAACTGGATTATTTCCGCAGTATAAAGGCAGCCTCCAGTGGCTTCACTCTGTACAGTAACTAATCTTGCGATTAATAATCCAGGATTCCCTAGTACTGAGCCAGGGCAGTAAAAACTGTCTCAAACAGGATTATTTCTGCAGTGTGTTTGGGACCTCAATTCCCAGGAGCATTGAGGCAGTTAAAATGGTCCCTGAGTGGATTGTTCATAGTGGTCAAGCTAGTCCTGAAAATGGGTACTAATGCTGCTGTAAAGGAGCCATTCAACAGGTCCAAAATACACTGCAGAAATAATAATTCCATTTGAGACCTCTTTAACTGCCATGGCTCAGTGTTAGGGCATCCTGGGGACTGTAGTTCATTGTGGCACCAGAGATCTCTGACAGAGATGGCTCAGTGTCTCAGTCCCAGAAGCACTGAGCCATGGCAGTTCACATGGTCTCTGCAGAAATAATGCAGCTTGAGACCGCTTTAACTGCCATGGCTCAGTGTGAGGGCATCCTGAGAATTGCAATTTATCATGGCGCTAGAGATCTGTCAGAGAATGCCTCACAAAACTACAGTTCCCAAGATTCCTGAGCATTGAGCCAAAGCAGTTAAAGGGGTCCCAACATCTCTGCAGTGTAGAGGTTGCCTTCAGTCTATCTATATCATAACCAATAAGTTTGTGCTTAATAACCCAGTTTGAGACCACTTTAACTGCCATGGCTCAGTGCTAGGGCATCCTGGGAACTATAGTTTATCGTGGCACCAGAACTCTCTCTGACAGAGATGTCTCAGTTTCCCGAAGCACTGAGCCAGGGCAGTTAAAATGGTCCCAGGTCCCAGAGTTGACTATTTCTGCAGTGTGTTTTGGATCTCAATTCCCAGAAGCATTGAGCCAGGGCAGTTCAAGCGGT